GCACCGAGGGCGAGGGAGCGAGCCTCATCCCGCTCGAAGTCTCGAGCGACGGCGAGTCCAAGCACCTGGTCCTCCATGCCCTGCGGAAGTAGAGGAAGAAACAAGTGCATAAGCACGAGCATGTTGAGGTCCGCGCGGGTTGCTCGGGTCGGAGCTGGACCCCCCTCCTTGGCTCGGGGAGTGCGCCAGGGACGGCGCGGGAGATGCCGCAGGTGGGCCCATGTCCGATCCCAGGAATCTGCGCGGACCTCCGAACGCCTGTGTTGACGCAATTTTGCGCATTCCTCAAGGAAGGCCTTCCAGCATGCGGGCGAGGTGCCCATGCCGCCAGTGCGTGTGCACACGCGCAACATTCGGCGGCGAGCGAGGGGGGGAAGTGAGAAGGAGAAGGGGCCGAATAATCTCATCGTATGTGCGTCGTGGCGAGCGCTTTCTGGCCGTACCGCTCGGGAAACGATACACTACAGGATGGGTATACTGTACGTTCGGGTCGGACGCGCGCCTCCAACTAGGACGCACGTGGAGTAGCATGTCTCTTTTTGCGCCCCATGCTGAGAAGGCCCGCCCCCTCTCGTTTCCCCCCTGGACTGGCCGCCGACGCATGGTGCCGATCTGCTCGGGCTTCGGCTCGTCCTCCTCGGCCATCGTCGGGGGGCTCATCGCGGGGCTGGTCCTCGCCGGCAGGGAGCTCAAGGTGCACGAGGACCGGCCGGGCTGCGGCTCGGCCGGGTCCATCGTGAGCGGCATGGACCCGGAGGAGCCGAAGGAGAAAGAGCGGCGCAGGGTCGGACCGAGGTACAAGATCGCGGTCGGCTCGGGGAGGGTGAACTACTGTGCTTCGTGCTCGCTGGATGCTCTCGTGCATCCTGGGGGAGGGTGCCCTCGAACGTTGTTCAGCGTGGCCAGCGGAGGGCCTCATGCTCTTGGAGGATGTTAGTATGTCTTAGGTCTGGCTGTACATTGTCGGAGTTCCGCGCGGACTTCTTGGATCGGCGCTGGGCCCCCTTGTGGCGCCTCCCGCGCCGTCCCTGGCTCGCTCCGCATGCCAGGGAGGGGGGTCCAGCGCCGATTCAAGAAGTCCGCACGGATCTCCCAAACATGTTTATGCTTTTCCCAGCAGGGACGGGTGAAATTTCGTGCTCCCCGCTGACTGACCTACTGAACCAGACTGACTGAACTGGAGGGGCACTTTTGACAATACATTTCAATCCCCCCGGGCGCACCCGCAACCGCAAACAGACGACACATTTCAGCCCGCCCGCGGGCGCAACCGCAACCGCAACCGCAACCTGGCGGCATATTTCAACCTGCTCGCGGGTGCAACCGCAATTGCAACCGCAACCAAGCGACATATGTCAATCCGCCCACGGGCGCAACCGCAAGCGCAACCAGTTGACACATTTCAACCCGCCCTCGGGCGCAACCGCAAGCGCAACTGCAGCCAGGCGACACTTTTCAACTCACCCGCGGGCGCACCCGCAACCGCAAACATATGACACATTTCAAAACCGCCCGCGGGCGCAACCGCAAGCGCAACCGCAACCAGGCGACATATTTCAACTCAAACCGCGGGCGCAACAGCAGCCGCAACCGCAACCGCAACCAGGCGACACATATCAACCCGCCCGCGAGCGCACCCGCCCGAGGACCAGGATGTGCAGGAGGAGGAGGAGGAGGAGGAGGAGGAGGAGGAGGTGTAGAAGGAGGAAGAGGAGGAGGAGGAGGGAGAGGAGGGAGAGGCAGAGGAGCAAGAGAGGGAGCGGGAAGAGGAGTCTGGGCAGGACGGCCATAAGGAGGAGGAGGAGGAGAAGGAGGAGGAAGAGGAGGAGGAGGACAACAACGAGAGGAGGGAGATGCAGGGGTGCTCGTGTTTCTGGGGGGTGCACGAGCAGGTGCCGGTGGAGGAGGAAGGCCAATGGCACGATAGGAAGATGGAGGGCCTGGAGGAGGAGGCGGAGGAGGAGGAGGAGGAAGAAGAAGAAGAAGAAGAGAAGGAGGACCCGTTGCCCGCGGGTCTCCGCGGGCACTGCAGCGGGGAATCCCCAGTCCACGCTGCTGCATCTGATTTTCGCTTCAAGGAGTTGCTGCATCTGGCGACGGACATCGAGGGTCACCCGGACAACGTGGCACCGGCGATCTACGGCGGGATCCAGCTCAGCGTCCAGACGCACGAGGGTTTGGACCACGGCGTCCCTCGGTCCGTCATGTCGCGGCGCATCCCTCACCCAGCTGGCTTGCGGTTGGTGGCATATGTGCCGTCGGAGGAGGCACGGCTGGGGAGCGGGCTGGACAAGACAGAGGAGATGCGAAACTTGCTCAAGCCAAACATCGCGAGGGCGGACGCAGTGGTCAACATCCTCCAATTCCCAAGGCTTCCCGTAACCACTGTACGTCCCTCCTCCATATTCCCCTCCACCCATCGGTCGGTGATTGTAGCAGTCCCCGCAGCTTCTGCGGAGACTCAGATGCACCAGAACTGATGATTTTCGGTTATCGGACACAGGGGGGTCTGGGCGGGTGCCGGACAGGGTGCCGCAGAAATCGTTTTAAGCAAACAGTCACACACTTCGTGCTCTTCGACCTCCCAGAACTCCATTCCCGGGCCACATTCTGAATGCCCGGAGCCAACTGTAGGCCACTTCGTGCTCTTCGACTTCCCAGAACTCCATTCCCGGGCCACATTTTGAATGCCCGGAGCCAACTGTAGGCCACTTCGTGGTCTTCGAGTTCCCAGAACTCCATTCCCGGGCCACATTTTGAATGCCCGGAGCCAACTGTAGGCCACTTCGTGCTCTTCGAGTTCCCAGAACTCCATTCCCGGGCCACATTTTGAATGCCCGGAGCCAACTGTAGGCCACTTCGTGCTCTTCGAGTTCCCAGAACTCCATTCCCGGGCCACATTTTGATTGCCCGTAGCCAACTATAGGCAACTTCGTGCTCTTCGACTTCCCAGAACTCCCATTCCTGGGCCACATTTTCAGCAGGGGCAAAAGCACGACGAGGAGGAGGACGAGCAAGACCAGGAGGACGAGGACGAGCAGGAGCAGGACGAGGAGCAGGAGGAGCAGGAGAAGAAGGACGAGCAGGAGGAGGAGGAGGACGAGCAGGAGGAGGAGGACGACCAGGAGGAGGAGGACGACCAGGAAGAGGAGGAGGAGGAGGAGGAGGAGGAGGGGAGGGGGAGGACTACCAGGAGGAGGAGGAGGAGGAGGAGGAGGAGGAGGAGGAAGAGGAGGAGGAGGAGGAGGAGGAGGAGGAGGAGGACGAGGAGGAGGAGGGGGAGGGGGGGGGAGAGCTGCCTTTTCGCCGAGATGCTGTTCGACCCAGAGATGCTCCTACACATGGCTGTTAGGTTGCTTTGCCGGGATAATTTTCGGTTATCGGATGGGGGGAAGGTGAGCGCAAGGACCGCCATGAAGGAAGCCGGTCTTGGGGGAAGCAGGTCCTGGACCTGGGGGCTCCACTCACAGGACCAGCTCTTGCTCCCGAGTCGTCTTCTGACGGTCCTCGGGCCCGTGGCTGGCATCACGGCCCCGAGAGCGGCGGAGCAAATCCAGAGCCCCATCTCTCGAGGCCTCACGGCCCTCTCCAGCCACGCACCAGAGGAGGGAGGCAGTGGTTACGGCAAGCGTTGGGAATCGGACGTCCAGCGGACGGCGCTCCTGATCGACTGCCTGCACAGGGGCGACCTCCACGCCCTGCGCTTCGCCACGCGCGACCGGCTCCACCAGCCTGCTCGTGGTGAGCAGGGGCAGCGACAGGGGGGATAGGCATTGGTCAGCCACGCGCAGAGGGGGGCGGGGGGGAGGGGGGAGGGCTTCTTAGAAGCACCCCTGCTTCTTAGAAGGCGCGGGCCTTCCCTAGGAGTGTAAGGCTGGCGCCTTCTAAGAAGCAGCCTGCTTCTAAGAAACCCTGCCCCCTCCCCCCACCCCCTTGTGCGCGCCGCCGATGATCCCCGCTTGGGGCCCGGTAGCCCCAATCTGTCTAGGAGCGTGCGTAGGTGCTATCGGGGGCCTATCGCCGATCCGTCGGCGATGCCTCGCCGATTTTCCAGGTCGATGTTCCCTCCCCCCCCGCCAGCTTCCCCCCTCCTGTCGTTGCCCCCCAGGCGAGCACAAGTACCCGCACCTGGACGCCATGGTGAAGGCGGCGCTGGAGGCCGGGGCGCACGGCGCGTTCCTGTCGGGCGCCGGGCCGACGGTGATGGCCTTCTGCTCGGGGCAGGCCGGGGACATCTTCACGCAGCGGTCGACGGAGCTCAGGGGAGGAGAAGGTATACCGGTGCGGCTACTACCCTTGTCTCGTCTTCGTTTTTTTTATGTTGCCTCATGTAGGCGGCGGGTGAGGGAGTGAAGTGAGAAGGAGGGCGCTCTCAGAAGGCGTTGTGGCTTCTCAGAAGCCCTCTGACCTTCTGAGAGGTTTTCCGTGTCTTCGAACCTCAGAGGAGGAAGAGGTACCGGTACCGCTACTACCCTTGCCTCGTTCTCGTTTGTTGTCTGTTGGCTCATATGGGGGGGCCGCGTCGCCATAGCTGGGCGGCGGAAGAAAACAGTGTCCTCTGCGCCGACATTGGCGCGTAAGCTGCACGCGTAAAGCCGTGCGTAAGCGCCCTCGTCTCCAATGTAGCGTACCGCGCTGGCCGCCCGCGCAAGCCGCGGCGTATGGTTGTTATGCCATCTCGCGTAAGACCCGATCTGATCGTCGCCACAGCCAGATTCACTTCGAGATCCTGATCAGAGCGTACCTCGAGAGAGGTCTGGGGCGTGGCGGCGTATTAGTGTTTTGGTGCCTTTCTTGGCTTCCCCAGGAGCGGCAGGAGGGCACCGTGGCGCACGCCATGCAGCAGGCCATGGAGGCGATGCCGGAGGAGGTGCGGAAGGTGTGGGGAGGCGGCACGTTCTACATCGTCTCGCCGACGAACAAGGGGGCCCACGTGGTGTCCGCGGAGCCCAAGTTCTCCGGCGGCCTGGCCACGTTCGGGTCGCTGGACGGGACGTTATGACCCGCGCCGGCTGGTTTGGGGGGACCCGCCGCCGCCGTCGTTCTCGTCGTCGTCCCCCCCATCGCATGTGGGGGGGGGGGCTCCTCTTAGCTTCGGGGTGGAGAGGCACTCTGCCCCGACGCCGTCCGTATGGAGCCTCTTGGCTCTGCAGTTGCCTGCGCCGTGCATAGTTTTCAGTTCCTGCAGTGGCCTGCGCCGTGTCAGTTTTCTCCGCAATGTATCTCCCTGCCTCCTGCTCCTCGAGAGGCGCTTGGCGATTCGAGGCGGCGGCTCGGCTGCCCCGCGGACTGCCGAGCAGCTAACAAAAGAAGCGTCAAGCATGGATCTCGGAGGAGGCAGACGACGACGACGACGACGACGACGACGACGTCGTCGTGCTCCACCCCTCTTCCTCAAGGGGGAGAACGACGGGGCGTGCGGGAGAAGATGCTCAGACTTGCGGCGGCGCTCGGAGAGGCGTGGGGCGGGCAGGGGGCGAGGGCTCGGGGGCCACAATCTGGGGCTCAGTGCGCTCCGGAAACAGCAGGGCCGTGCTTTGATGGTTTCCGAAAACGTGTCCCTTGCAAGCCGAGGCTGTCAACAACGGCTACCGGAAACAGCAAGGCAGCGGCTCCCCAATTGGGGACGGATGAACCGGCACTGGCAACAACAACGGCGACGGAACTGGAAAGAAACGGCGTCGGAACCGGCAGCAAAAACGGCAAAAGGTCAAACAGTGCCCTGTCATTGCCAGGGCGCGCTGAGCTCCGGGGCCTTCATGATAGCTGGTCGGAGGGGGGAGCGCCCGGAAGGTGCTTCGGGACGGGCGAAGAGATCTCGGAGTTGAGGGGGGCCCTTTCCAGCGGGGGGTCGCCAGAGAGCTGATGCGACACGGCGTGGGTGAGGGCCTGGGCTTATGATGTTTCAATCTGCTTGCTTGAGCCTTGATCACCAAAAAGAATTTCGAGCACCAGAAAAGTACCGAAACTCGAGGGTTTTCACGTGTCGGGCCCTGGGAGACACTCGTCCTTTTCCAGGTGCTCGAAATTATTTTTGGGATGTGTTCCGTAAGTGCGATGGGAGCAACTTCAGCTTGGGCCTGAGTCAGTCATCCAGCCGCCTCGAGTCCAACGGTCTCGCTCGGTGCAGCTCCTCCACGTGCCCGCAGAGGGGAGGGGTCCTCGGGAGGAGAGGGGCGGACGTGGGATGTTGCTGGGCGTCCTGCCTTGAGTGTGAGGTGTCCGTGGGGACGCAGTTCCCTTTCTTCCTCCCCCCCATCCCCTCCTCATCTCTCCGCCACAGCCTCTCTTTTTTTGGGGGGAGGGGGAGCTGTCGAAAAGCTCCCGTGGGGGTGGCGTTGAGTCTCAGGCTTGCAGCAGGGTGACGGGCACGAAGAAAGGCTTGCGTTTGCCAGTGACGTCGTATACCGCATACCTAGTAGCATTCGGCCCATTCCCGCCATCGTGCCTGGGTTGTAGATCGGAGGCCTCTGGGATGCCTTTCGGGATCTCCTGGGAGGCCTCTCGGAAGCCTCTCGAGTTCGCTTTTGGGGTGTCCTGGGGGCCTTTCAGGAGTCGCTTTGGGGGCCTCTAGGGGCCTGATTTGGGCCTCTTGGGGGCCTCCTGGAGCTTGTGGGGGGGCCTCCTAGGGGCCTGCGGGCGGTCTCGGAGGTTATCTTGGAGCGAAGGTCTGAAAATGTCGGGTCGTGTTCCCCATCTGGTCCGTCTCTTAGGCCTCTCTTGGGGCTCTATTGGGCCGTCTTGGGGGCCTCTTGGGCCTTCTTCGGGCCAGCTTGGGTCGTTTCGGGGCGCTGTTGGGGGCCTCTTGGGCCGTCTTGGGGCGCTCTGGGGGGCCTTCTGGGCCGTCTCGGAGGGTCGAAAGCCAGCAAAGGCGAGAACACTAGAATCCTTCAAAACGCAATGCGCTTCTTGGGCCGCTCGAGGCCATGCTGGGCGTCTCGGAGCGCTGCTGGGCTGTCTTGGATGCCGCTTGGGCCCTCTTGAGCTCTTCTTTGGGCCCTCCTGGCCCGTCATAGGGGCCCTCGGGCCTCTGGAACAGTCCTGCGAGGAATCTTGGGAGCACATGAGAGAGCCAAAATAAGGTTTGGGATTGTGGGCCCGCTGTCCCTACTAAAACCATTACAATATTTAGCACAAAATAAAATAGTTCTCGAGGACCTAAGGACAATTCTCCACTTCGTGCCTCGAGGCACGGTGCTGGATAGAGTGTACGTGGTGCGACCTGGGGGGGGGCAATGCACGTGGTGCAATTCGTGTGGACCAGATTACGACTTGCAGTAATTAGTGCCACGGAAGAGGTGTTAACCCCATTCTTCGCGCAAACACCCCAACCTCCCACCCGCAACTTGTTTGGCAAAACGCATGCGGCCACGATTGTGGCTGCCGATTGGAACTTGCTATCGCATCCCGCGGCCGCACTGACGCGCGCACGCTCACGCGCAGATCGGCCAGCTGGTTTGGCATCTTGTGCGGTCGCGATGGCACTTGCCGATGGTCACTTCCCAGCGCGTCCTAAAGTCCGCGCTGGCGCGCGGGCGTTTTAGTGCAGGGTGGTAGCCCGGGCGGGCGCAGTATCATGATGACGTCGACAACGGCGCCAGCCATGATGGTAATAGCGATGGTGGTTGCGATGATGACGACGACGGCAACGCAAATAACGGCGTCGATGCTGGTGTCGACGGTGGTGATGGTGATGTCCATATGCAGGTGATTGGACAGCTCCTAAAGGTGATGGAGGCAGTGGTTGCGATTGGGGCGGTGAAGGGATGGCGCTGGCGAAGTTGATGACGGAGTGCGCGGGCACAAATGCAATACTTCTGGCAGGTTGGTTTGTTGAAGATGTTTCATCTGTCTGTGAAGAGCTCTATTTTGACATGCTGCGGGGACCGATGGCGTTGTAAGGAGTTCGACACGCGCGCGTGGCAGCGCGGGGATGCACCGCGTGGTGAGATGATAGTGGAAGTGCTGGAATGTGGATGTTTTCATGATTTCAGCAAGTGCTCGCGGGCAGAACTGGCAACCGATCTGATAAGATGCCAACGTGGTTTCAATGTTTTGATGTTAAGCTGCTTGAGTGCGCGCGCATTGTATTAATTGATAGGGGCGACTGGGGGCGCGATTCCAGCTTGACATGTTGTAGATGAACGATGCAATACGAAAAGGGGGTCAGTCTGGGGTCGGCACGGGGGTGGATTCTACTTGTCTTTTGAAGGAGAATCTACATTACGTGGCTCAGCGGCCCAGTCTAATCATGTGGTGCACTCTGCGCCGTGCAATATGTGAGCTGCAGGCTACTTGGTGCAAGTTCTGTGGCGCAAGCGCCAGCCAGTGAACGAGGCGCCCACGAGGCGCCCATGGGCGGGCACCGGACGAGCACCCGAATCCGCCAGTCAGCGAACCAGGCATCCACAAGACGGTCAGGGGCGTGCACGGGGCGAAAACCAGAAGTGCCAGGCAGCGCACGAGGCGCCCACGAGGCGCCCACGAGCGGCCGCCGCGGGAGAGCCCGGAAACTCAAAGCAAGGCACTTACGAAAATGAGCAATACGCCAGAGGTGCAAGCACCGTTTCCATCATCGAAGGTGGTGTGGCAAGCACGTGCAGCCAACAGGTTGGGGCCATTGGTTAGGAAGGTGCTCTTCCGCAGGAAGTTCGGCATGTGGTCAACTCGCAAGCGGAAATATTGCCAGCGTGTGGACCCACAGCAGTTCATTTGTGCAACAAGTTCGAGGCCCTGTATGTGTGGAGCCCTATGTGTGTTGAACCGTCGGAGCTCATAGAAGGCCAAGCATTAGGGAGGAGGACAAGCAGCCGCCGCGGAACAAGTGCAACACCTAGGGCCAGCGGGGTGTGAAGCCATTGGGGATTGGGGGGGTTGGAGGCCAAGCCGTGTGAAAGGGATCGGGGTTCAAGCCACTAGGAGGCAAAGCAGCCACCGCGAAAGAAGTGCAACACTCAGGGCCAGAGGGGCGTGGAAGCCGCAGGCAACCACAGGAGACCAAGCAACGTATTGTAGGGCCAGTCAGCAGCCGCGGAAAAGGTATAACACCCAGGGCCTGCGGGGCGGCAGGCCATGGGGGACCCACAGAGGGCGAAACCATAGAGGTCCAAGCCCAAGCGGCAGAACGAGGGTTGGGTGAGAAGCCACAGGGACGCCATGCGGAAACCATCAGATCTTTAGCCGTGGGAAGCTGCATGAGGCCAAGCACACACAGCGGACCCAGGCGACCTGGGCCAGTTGTTTGTAGCACAGGTTCAAAATCGTGTGTGCAAGAAGCCGGGCCGCAGGAGACCACTGGAAGCCAATCGTCCACGGCCCGGGGAAGCCATACGGCAGCCACACGAGGACGAGCCATAGACGCCCATGGGCGGGCAAGCACTTACGGTCCGACCCCGACAACTATGGGCGGGACGCCATGGGGACGCCAGGAGAGCCCACGGGGGACTACTCACCCACGGCACGAACCCAGGACACAAGGCCAATTTCTTTCAGCACCAGTAGAACCACCCAAACTCAAAGCATTTTCGGATGATGATGCACGTTGCAAGTACATCAGGCTGTTTGACCAGCGGCGACAATGCCTGGCGATAAACGCAGGCATGCCTTGTAACAGGAAGCCAGTCTAGTGACAGGCCCGTTGTCCCCAAGTGTATGGCCATCCGTAACATCGTCAATGACTTGGCGCCGTGTGTTGAGCGGCAGGTTGTCAATTTACCACGCTGTGCCATGGAGTACATCGCAGTGGCCGCTGGCCGAGGCCACCGAATTAAGCGCGTCAGTACACAATGCTCGAATAGGAACAACATGCTGTGGTGCATGCACGGCTGGGACGCTAGGCGCGCGGCAGAGGCGAACTCATTCGAGGACAATACGTTTGCAGACGGAACGCTCCTAGTCAACAGTTGCCGCAAATGTTTACATTAGTACGTGAAACACGTGCACCTTGTACCAAGTGCGGCGCTGATAATGGACTACATCTGCGTTGATGTAAGATCCGCTTTGTGTCGTGACTGCAGGGAACGAACTATCCATTGTGCGATTCAGTTGTGCACCCGGGCTCGGAAATCCACACGGCCTGCACTTGTGACGCTCATCAGGGCCACCACATGTGACCCCGAAAGTAGCATCACAACAGCCTCAACGTCGTTCCCCCTCCTGCCTCTCCCTTCGCACCCTGCTCCTATTCCTGTTCCCTCCTCATGCTCCTCCACCTCAGCGTGATACATGAGCGTCCAGGCTGTTGCGTTCGTGTCCTGCCTCCCAATATTCCTTTGGGCAGGGGCCCTCCGCTCGCTTTGGCGGCGAACCGCAGCCCAGAAAAAGAACACGCCATCCTCGATTACGCAGGCAACAGCTTTCATCACACAGCTCAGCCCGTAGATGCAGGGAGCTTTGTCTCGGCGGCGAGCGAGGGGGGTAAGTGAGAAGGAGAAGAACTTCTCAGAAGGCGGCGGACTTGTCAGAAGCCCTCGAGTCTTCTGAGAGGTTCATTGTGTCTTCGGGGAAGGCTCAGCAATTGTTGACGAATCGCGCATCCCGACCAGCCCATCCAGAAACGATGCCCAGGGGAGTTGAGGTGATCAGGGAAGTGGAGGAGCATGCAGAAGAACAAAGCGTGGGGGAAGCCGTCCGATACCCCGAGAGGAGGATAATGGTGGAGGAAGAGGAGAAGGAGAAGGAGGAGGAGGGCGAAGAGGACGAACATGGACGAACATAAGAGCCTCCTCGGATGTGTCTTGGGAGTTTTTTGAGGCCTCTTGGAACGTCTGGGGGGCATCTTGGGTGCCTCGGGGATCCTCTTGAAGCTTATTGGGGGCCTCTTGGGAGCCTCTTGTAGGCATCTTTGGCGCCTCTTTGGGCCGTCTGGGCGCCTCTTGGGGCCATCTTGGGGCGCTCTTGGGAGCCTTACGAGCTGGCGGGCCGTGCGGCCCGCGCGAGCCGACGCCGGCGCCGTAGGCGGCGACGCGCCGGGTTCGTTACATGTTGTTTTAGCAGCCAGGACACATGGGCATCCTGCTGCTGCTCACCGTGTCTGTGGAGCCTGGCCAGCGCTCTTGGGGCCATCTTGGAGGAGATCGATCAAAGAAGAGGGGTTCCCTAATTCGCCCCCACCCCCCCCCCCCCCCCCCCCCCCCCCCCCTCTGGGGAGCCCCAAGAGTCGCCTCTTGGGGCGCTCTTGAAGCGCTCTTGGGCGCTCTTGGGGCCGTCTTGGGGCTCTCTTGGGTCTCTCCTGGGGCCCTCTTGGGCCATCTTGAGGCCTTGGATGGCCATCGGAAGCGAAAAGGCGAGAAAGCAAACCTCATTGATTTTCCTTAGGTTTCGGAAGGATTTTGGCTTCTTGGAGGCCTCCTTGGAGGTCTCGGAGGCGTCTTGGAGCCGTTCTGAAGCGTTCTCGGGGTCTCTTGGGGCATTTTGGGAGCCGGCTTGAGGCATTCTGGGGTATGTTGAGTCATCTTCGAGGTCATCTTGGGCTCTCTGAGGCCCTCTTGGAGCCATTTTTGGGGGAAATCGTGCCCTCTGGCACCTCGCGGGGCGCGCCCCGTCCAGGTCCAGGGAGGGGGTGAGGGGGGGAGGGGTAAGCCTGTCCCCGAAGGGGAAGAAAGGGGGGGCCTCCCTGGACCACGTACGCCCAGAGGGCTGGTGGGACTTCTCAGCAGGCTGGGGGACTTCTGAGCCTTCTGAGAAGGCCTGCCCCTTCTCACGTTCCCCCCCTTCGCCCGCCGCCGACTGTCTGTCCTTTTTGGGGTTCGGTGAGCAGTTGTTCAGAAATCCGGGGAATGCCAACTATACACCTCACCAATCCTGGCCAGGCCCATCCTTGACCCGCTATCGGTGTGTGCTCCCCTTCTGGCTTGGCCAGGTTTGCACATGCAGCATGCAGCGACCTTGGGCCCAGTGTAAGCCCAGCCAGGATCGGTAAGGTAAATAGTTGACGCCCTCCGAGATATGCAACATCAGCTCCAAGATCGCTCTGGAGATCTGAACCGACAGCCGCCCGCAGCCAGCCTCGGCTCAGTGTGCCCCTCTCGCTGTCCTCAAGGCGCGCCCGGCCACCGATGCGGCAGTCGCCGTGGCAGGCGAGGCGGCTGCTGAAGCGATGGGCGCGCGCGTGGGCGCCCTGGCGGCACCTGGGGGCCCCCTTGCGCTGCCTCTGCGCGCTGCGAGCGCAGCAGACGCTCTGCTGGCCCTTGCTGCTCGTTTTGGGCAGCCTCGGCGCCCTGGCGGCCCTCTCTGCCCTCGCCGGCCTCCGAGCTCCCTGGACAACCGCGGAGGCCGGCTCTCCCATCCGCCACAGTGCAGGCGGCGAGGCACCCCCCGCGCCGCGCGCGCCTGCGCCCGCGGGCGCACCCGCGCTGGCCCAGCGCTGCCATGCGAGCAGCCTGGAGGCCTCGGAGGTCCACGCCTGCAGCGACGCCGACGAGCGGCCAGCGCGCGTCTGCATCGTGTCGAGCGAGTTCCAGGGCATCGTGCCCAACGGCGGCATCGGCACCTTTTACAGCACTCTCGCGGAGACGCTCGTGCTCGCGGGCCACGCGGTGACGCTCCTCTACACCCAGGGAGAGGTGTCGCACAGCCCTGGCAGGGGCTTCGTTCATTGGGTGGAGCATTACCGTTCTATCGGCGTCGCCCTGCTTCCGCTGCATGGCGGTCTACAAGCTGCGGCGCTGCAAGACCACGCGACGACTTCCTGGCTCGTCTACTCTTGGCTGGCCGAGAGGCAGCGGGACTTCGACCTGGTGCATTTCCCGGACTACCAGGGCCACGGATATTACTCCCTGCTCGCGAAGCATGTGGGCTTGCAGTTCTCGAACGCCACGCTTGCAGTGACGGCGCACGGACCCAACCGTTGGGCGGCCCCAGCCAGCGGCGAGCGGCTCGACACCATTGAGGTGGCAGAGGTTGACTTCCTGGAGGGGCAGAGCGTGCGACTGGCAGAAGTGCTCATCAGCCCCAGCGACTACCTGCTGCGCTGGTACATGCGACAGGGCTGGCATCCTCAGAACACGCCTTTGCTGATGCCCTTGCTCCTGCCGCGGGACGCTCGACAACTCGTGCAGGAGGTATCCGCCGCAGGGCGTGCCCTTCTAAGCGGCACAGTGCCTGTCAGTGAGCTGGTGTTCTTTGGGCGGCTGGAGCTGCGCAAGGGCCTCGTCGATTTCTGCGACGCCATTGACAGGCTGCTGCACGGCGCCAGCGGTGGAGAGACGCCCCTGGAACCCGCGAGGCTCCAGGCGGTCACTTTCCTGGGCAGCTCGCGTTGCACGGTCTTCGGCCAGCCGAGCCAGGAGTACGTGCTTGGCCGCGCCAGGAGCTGGGAGCAGATGGGCATCAGAGTGACTCTGCACAGCGACAAGGACACGCGCGGGGCACTGCAGTACCTGCTGCACGGTCGGGGCGCACGGGTTGCCGTGCTGCCCTCGCGGGTGGAGAACTCCCCACAGGCCGTGCTGGAGCTCATCGGGGCCGGCGCTCCGTTCTTGGCCTCCGACGCCGGTGGCATCCCAGAACTCATCGCAACGGCGAGCCGTGGCCGAGTGCTGTTCGGCCGCAAGAACGTCACGGAGCTGACGAATGCCTTGCAGCGGATACTGGCCACGGGCGCCCAGGCTGCGCAGGGTGCTCGGGAGCTGGACGGGCTGGAGCGCGCCTGGCTGGACTGGCATGCGTGCGTGCCCTGCCAGCTGGCGCGCAGCAGCGCCGCGGTGGCCAGGAAGACCAAACGGCTACGGGATAGTACGGCTGCACGGACGAGGGTTTCGGCATGCGTGCTGCTGTCCTCGCAGCGGGTGTGCGACCTGCGTGCGTCCTGCTTGAGTTTGCTTGACCAGGACGCAGACATGGTTGCCGAGTTGATCGTCGGCGTGGCAGGTGGCGACAGCGGCAGACAGGAACAGGTTGTCGAAGACTTGCAGCACTTCGTGAGGGCGTCAGTGCTATCCGCCCCCACACGCACCGCCGCGCTCTCCGCATGTGCGCGGAAGAGCACGCAGCAGCACTTGCTGCTGCTGGACGCTGGTACTATCTTGGAGCCGCGGGCTCTTAGCGTGATGTCCTCCACACTGTCCTTGCTTGGCAGCACTGGGGTGACGACGATGTCATACGAGTACGGGAACTTGCTGCAGTTCGATCTGTTCTACTCGACGGAGGAGATCCGCGAGGCCATGCGCCCCAAAGCAGAACAACCTGTTAGGCTCGCCTTGGGGCCCGCGGCCCGCCCGGGCGTCTTCAAGGACATCCTTGGCGGCGGTGTCGTGCTGCTGGCGGCCAGCGCGCTGGGAGGTCTGCTGGAGGCCGCCGGGGACGAGGATCAAGGGAGGAAAAAACACCTCGACCCCGATAATTGACGTCTGCTAAACGGCCCTGGGCGTTTACTAAATAGCCCTGCCCTGTTCGATTCCTTCCTTGGATGCGTTTATTGTTAAACGGCTTCTCTCGTCGGGGTGCTCATGCTGAGGCAGGCTCTTCTGCTCTCTGGAGGAGCTGCTAGCGCACTCGCAGGGCTTCTGGGAGCTGCTCGCGCACGCCGCCTTCCGGGGGCAGGGCGTCCCGCTCGTGCCAGAGCCGGTGTGCTGGGTGCGGCACGTGCACGCGGCGCCCCGATCCATGGCCGACTTGCGGCGGCTACTGCGCCCAGTCTCTCCGCCATTCAGCCTGGAGGCCATGCAGGAGATCCTCCACCAGTCGCCCGCCGGGATTGCTGCCGTCATGGAGGCGAAGCAGCTGCCGCAGGCAGTGATCCTGGATGTATAGGGCAGCTGCAGGCCTCACCCGAGGCGCAGAGGCATGCGTATGCGGAGCCAAGAAGCTGCGGCATGGGCCTGTTCAGGACGACGGCATCCAAGACCAGCAGCAGACAGAGGGCCAGGTTGTACAGACAGACTGCTGTGAAGAAGGTGGCTGACATCACAGTGTTCGTGGACTGGTCAGTCAATGCCGAGATCGATATGATAATCGCGTGGGTGATCGGCACCACTTTCACGTAATCGGGGTGCTACGGTTGATTGCTGCATCTAGCTCGACATCAATTGCAAGTGCAACATCAGCATGACACCCCGCGAGAAGGTCAGCAAGAGCGTGCGCACGTCCTGTACCAGCTCCTCAGACACACTCCAGCCCGCCACTTCCGAAGGCCAGATGGAACGATGCATTCCTCATTTGCAGCCTGCAGATCAATCTGTTCATGGTCTGTGTATGTACTCGCCGCAGCGCTTCTCCCGAAACTCTTCGAGCATTGCGGCGCGGAGGACACGTAGAGGCGAGGGCGTCCGAGCCGCCAGTCCAGCAGAGAATGGCGCACGGCTCGCCCCATCGCCGTCTTCCAGGCACCCTTGGCCACAGGCGAGCGTCCTCTTTCGGGAGGCCGTGACACTGAGCCGCCGCAGGCCCCCCCCCCCCCCCTGATGCACTTGCTCGCGCAGACGACGACGACGACGACGACGACGACGACGACGACGACGACGACGACGACGCCCTGGCTGCCGGCAGGTAGCTGATGCCCCGTGCAGGGCCCGCACCCGAGGAGGCCGGGCAGCGGCCCGCTCAGCACTAGGCGTTCCTGCGTTTCCCGCGTGCTGCGTCGCGCCACGGGGGTCTCGACGGTGGACCCTATGGGTCAGAGGGGGGGAAAGTACCCAGACAGGATCGCGTCGTAAAACATATCAGGACGGGAGGTTTTTGGCCAATTTCGGCCACGGGAGGCCCTCGCCCGGCCTCGGGACCGTCAACCATCGATTCAGGATGAGAAGCCGGCTCCCGGGAGAGGGTCTGGGCTTCGAACTTCTGGTCAGAGCGCATCCCGGGATAGGTCCGGGCGTAGCGGTATCGGTGCCTGTCTGTTTCCCCAGTTAGGGGGACCACCGTGCGGACCAGTTGGCTGGCCAAGCGCGGCGCAAGGGTCAGTGGGCTTGCCCGCAGCACTAAAAGGAGTCTTGCGTGCTCGGCACAGTTCCTCAAACCATGAGCTCGTCGCAACCCGAATTAGTCCAATGTCTTGTTGCAGGTGGACGTGCACAGTCCAACGTAATGCGATGACACGCAATCTGGAATGTATACTGACAAAGCAATACATAGCATCACCTGGGGTATCATGTAGCAGCATCGCGTACAATTGAATTTCGTAGCATTGCGTGTAGTGACGTACCATGTCATATCATATGACAGAATTGTGTTGCACCTCGCAATCCGCACGACATTCCGTAGTCTAGCATCGTCTGGTCACTCCTGGTATAATATTGCCAAGTATGGCAACGCCAGCATAGCATAGCGCAGCTGGTGTACGAACAGCTATGGTGCCATCCTTCAAATACTACAGAGGTCATTTGATATGTGCTGCTTTATGCTTGCGACTGACCTCGCGTCGTATGGGCGGTCAATGTCCTTGTTCAGCTCTTGCACCTCCTCTAACTATGCAGGGCCCTCCACCTTCGAATTCCTCGAGCGCATCCACGCACTCTTACTAGTAGTGCTCGCATAATTTTCAGATCTCGTCACTGCCCACCCTTTATATCGTATGACTCGGCTAGCATTACTCGGCCGCGAGCGAGCGGGGGGGGGGAAGTGAGAAGGAGAAGGCCTTCTCAGAAGGGAAGTGAGAAGGCCGAGAAGGCTTCTGAGCCTTCCCGGAAGACAGAAACCGAAACTCCTCCGAAGGCGCGAGGGCTCGTGAGAAGTCCCGCCGCCCTCTGAGGAGGCCTTCCCCTTCTCACTTTCCCCCCCTCGCTCGCCGTCGAGTCGGCAACACCCCAACATACTTATACTATATGTGCGTCGCCCCCCCAGGAGCGACGCGCGCACCGAGAAATCTTATAGTATATGCGTCGTGGCGGGCGCTTTCTGGCCACACCGCTCGGGAAACGATATACTACAAGATGGGTATACTATATGTTCGGGTCGGACGCGCGCCTCCAAGGAGGACATATAGTACTAGTATGTCCATGTGCGTCCCATCGAGTGACAGCCACGACCCCCCAGCCCGGCCCTGCACCTCGGGGCCCTCTCTCCGGCCTCTGGCTGCGCAGCCCGGCCGGCCCGCGGAGGGCTTCGTGCCGCATTTCCCCGCCCGCGGGCGCCTCGCGGGCGCCTCGTGCGCGTCCGCCGAGGCGTCTCGCCGGGGGCCCCCCCCCGCGGGCGCCCAGCGTGAGGCAGTCGAAGGTGTCGGGCAACCCATCAGAGCCCCGAATCATCAGGGGTAACTCGGGTCAGGGATAACTCGGGTTCCTTTTTCGGGAATCCAAGCCCGAGTTACCCCGGACCCGAGTTACCCCGGATAACTCGGGCGCCCAAACCCAACCGAGGGGAGGTGGGCACAGCAGAGCGGATCGAGAGCAGAGCGAGGCAGAGCCGAGGACCGAGGAGCGCGGGCCTCGGTGAGGAAGCATGGGGGGGGGGGGGGGGGGGGCGGGGGGGGGGGGGGGCCATTCCCCAGATCGAGCGCCGAGCTCCCAGGGCGACCCCCCGGGGTCGGGGAGCTGGGCGTACGGGCTTCGGGCACTGCGAAGGGGGATCACCACTAGGGGGGTCACCCGCACCTCTTGGGAATCGAGATTCCAGGATCCATTCGGGGAAGCCCAATTGGTGCAAAGGTGGCCGTTTTTCGTAGACATCGGGCTTCTGGGTGCACGTTTGAGAAGGTATGGAGCCCCCTTGAGCCGTCCTGGGGCCACACGGAGCCATGCTGCAGGCAGCATCTCACAATAGTACGGAAGAACATTTGGTTATTTGGTGCACGTTGGCCCATCTTGGACGAATTTGGACGCTCCAATGCCTCGCGCCCCCTTGGGTCCTGATCCGTGAGCGCGGGGTGGGGGTACATCTAGCTGCCTTTTGAAGCGGAAAGAGGGTTTGAGTTCGAAGGTCTGGTGCTCCGACGCTTCCTGCGTCGGGAGGTATGGAACCTGCGTGAAACAAAATTACACTGTACGTACGTAGCACCCCGCAGATGCGGATAAGAGTGAGGGGGCGGTGGGGACGTCGGCAGTCTGCGAGACTCTAGAGAAGCCCGCCGCAGGCGCCAACGTTTTACAAATTATACGACGAGCCCGCCGCAGGCGCCGATTTTCTCTTCAAACCAATGCGGATCGGTCGCGGGTGGGTCGCGGGTGGGTCGCGGGTGGGTCGCGTGTGGGTTGCGGGCAGGGTCGCGGGATGGGTCGCGGAGTGGGTCGCGGGGTGGGTCGCGGGATGGGTCGCGGGGTGGGTCGCGCGTGGGTCGCGCGTGGGTCGCGGGTGGGTCGCGGGTGGGTCGCGGGGAGGGTCGCGGGCTGGGTCGCGGGTGGGTCGCGGGGTGGGTCGCGGGTGGGTCGCGGGGTGGGTCACGGGGTGGGTCACGGGGTGGGTCGCAGGTGGGTCGCGGGATGGGTCACGGCGTGGGTCGCGGGCTGGGTCGCGGGGTGGACGACAACAAACAACAACAGCAGCAACAACAGCAGCAACAACAACAACAGCAACAACAATACCAACAACAACAAAACTACAAACAAACAAGCAAGGAAGCAAGCAAACAAAAACAACAACAACAACAACAACAACAACAACAACAACAACAACAACAACAACACCTCCAACACCAAACATTTTAAGACTGTTCGCTCCTATCTGCTCACGTGCCAATCAGTACGTCTATCCCAAACCCTCGGTACCCGCCCTCGTCGTCTTCGATCGTACCCCCTTGGGGGTAGATCTTCCTCACCTGCCACGTGTTTTTATGCAGCCCCTTAAACAAGGGAAGAGAGGACGGGTGAAAGGGGGAGAGAGAAGAATGGAGCACGAGACAAATTAGCAGCTGGGGGGGCAAGGAGCAGAAGTCAAGTGGTATAACCACACGGGCAGATCGGGTGGGCAGACCCATAGCGCCCAGACCCATAACCAAAGGGCCCAGGCGACGAGGTCGAGCAGGCGGGTTGCTGAAGCGTGGGTCGTGCATGAATCGCGAGGAAGTCTCGAACGACAACGCGATTCCCAAGTAAATCGTGAGAAAAGCCAGCGTGGGAACTAACAACAACACCATCAACAATAAAAAACGCAGCAGCAGCAACAACAACAACAGCATCAACAACAACAACAGCAGCATCAGCAACCAACAATACTTTAAAGACTGTTTGCCCCTATTTTCTCACGTGCCACCCAATACGTATATCCCGAACCCTCGGTACCCGCCCTCGTCGTCTTCGATCGTACCCCCTTGAGGGTATATCTTCCTTACCTGCCACGTGTATTTAGTGCGGCCTCTAAACAAGGTATGAGAGGACGTGTGGAAGGGGGAGGGAGAAGAATGGAGCACGAGAGAAAAAAGGAGGAGGTGGGCAAGGAGCAGAAAACTAGTGGTAGAACCAGACGGGCAGATCGGGTGGGCTGACCCATAGCGGGCAGCTCGGGAAGGCGGGCCCAGGCGACGAGGTCGAGCAGGCGGGTTGCTGAAGCGTGGGTCGTGCATGAATCGCGAGGAAGTCTCAAGCGATAGCGCGATTCCCAAGTAAATCGTAAGAAAAGCCAGCGTGGGCCACGAAGGGCACATCATCCAACTCCACAGAGGGCAGCGACGGGGCCGCTGCGGGCAGCGCCGGGGCCACTAAGGGCAGCGAGGGGGCCACAAAGGGCGACAGCGGGGCCACGAAGGGCAATCATATGGGGCCACGACGGGAACGAGCGAGCAGCGGCCACGAAACACATTCGTTTACGGGACCACAACGGGCGACAGCGGGGCCACTGAGGGCAGCAAAGGGGCCACGAAGGGCAGCGAGGGGGCCACGAAGGGCGACAGCGGGGCTACGAAGGGCTTGCGCATGGGGCCACGACGGGCACGTGCAAGCGGAGGCCACGAAGGGCATATAATGCGGGGCCACAAGGGCAGCGACGGGGTCACTGAAGGCAGCAACGGGGCCACGACGGGCATCGAGCGAAGACGACCGCGGAACCAGTACGGGCAACGAGGGGCATCGAAGGCGGGCGGAGGGCAACGAGCCTCGACTGCAATCATTAACGGGCTGGTCGGGCGGGCGGGC